CTGTCTTGAGGTAGACATGCTCGGCTTCCAACGATATGCACAGGTCCAAGCCAGCAATGGCTGCTTCATATTCGGCCTCGTTGTTAGAGGCTTTGAATGAAAATTTTAGTGCATACTCGAAGGTTTTGCCTTCGGGAGAGGTAATGACGACCCCTGCCCCCGAACCGTTCACGGTGGAGGACCCATCCGTGAAGACGGTCCAGATTTTCCTCCTTGCATCCAGAGTCTCCTGATAGGAGCACTCGGCCAAGAAGTCTGCCAAGGCTTGCGCCTTGATGGCTGTTCTCGGCTGATAACCGATACTGAACTCGGTGAGCTCGAAAGCCCACTTTGCTAGTCTACCGGATTTTTCAACCTTGCCGAGGACTTTCTCTAACGGCTGATCAGTTAGAACCGCTATTTGATGAGAATCAAAATAGGGTCGCAACTTCCGAGCAGCCACCACCACTGCATAAGCCACTTTTTCTAACAATGGGTAGCGCGTCTCGGCATCCGTCAGGGTGTGGCTGACGAAATAGATCGGCTGTTGAACTTTTTCTTCTTCCCTTAGCAGCACCGCGCTTACCGTGGCTGGACTGACCGCCACGTATAAGTATAGGATGTCTCCTACGACTGGCCTTGCCAGTGTTGGGAGTTGAGCCAGGTGTTCACGGAGCTGCTGAAAGGCTGACTTTTGTTCGTCTCCCCATTCAATGCCTTTTGAATTTTGGAGCTTCAGCGCCTTGAAGAAAGGGAGCCCTTTGTCTGAGGCTCGTGAGATGAACCTGGACAAGGCAGCCATTCTCCCGGCTAGACGCTGAATATCCCTTTTTGTCTTCGGCTCGGGGAGGTCTAAAGCAGCTTGTACTTTGGCGGGGTTTGCATCAATCCCCCTCTTGCTGACCATGAAGCCGAGGAACTTGCCTGACTTCACGCCGAAGACACATTTCTTCGGATTCAGCTTCATTTTGTATTTTCTGAGGGTGGCGAAGGTTTCGGCTAGGTCCGTGACATGATCTTTTTCTTTTATGCTTTTGACGATTGAGTCGTCAACATAAACCTCCATGTTTCGGCCTTTTTGCTCGGCGAAAACCTGATCAACCAACCTCTGATATGTTGCCCCCGCATTTTTCAATCCGAAGGGCATCATTCTGTAATTGTACAACCCGGAACTTGTTATGAACGCTGTTTTAGCTCGGTCCTCGGGGTGCATGAAGATCTGATGGTATCCCGAGAATGCGTCCATGAAACTGAGCAGAGCATGCCCGCTTGTCGAGTCGACCAGTTGGTCGATCCTCGGCAGCGGATAGGAGTCCTTGGGACATGCCCTATTCAGGTCCGTGAAGTCAACGCACATCCTCCAGTTACCATTTGCCTTCTGAACCATTACAACATTGGCCAGCCACTCCGGATACTGACAGGGTTCAATGAACCCAGCATCTAGGAGCTTATCGACCTCAGCTGCGATGTTCTGGTTCTTTTCGGCGGAGTAGTTCCGCTTTTTCTGCTTAATGGGTCGACTGGAGGGGTCGACATTAAGCCTATGGGAGACGAAGTCCGGATCAATCCCGGGCATTTCTGCGGCTGAGAAGGCGAACACGTCTCCACTGGCCCGTAGGAGTTGGACGAGTGCCGCACGGGTGTTTGGCTCCAGTGACGACCCGATGCTAACACATCTGTTCGGATCTCCTACGGTCAGTTCTATTGACTCGGTCAGGTCATCCGTCTCCATGCTCTTAGAGTTGGATTCCTCGAATTCCGGCCTGCTGTCAATATTAGCAGACTTTCCTGACCGCGGCTGGCCATCAGAGTCGTTCGGCTCTGAGGCGGAGTCAGCCTTTTGGCCCCCATCAGATTTCTCGTTGTCTGGGGCTTCATTAGCCGAAACGTCTGAGCCTCTCGGCTTTTTGGCGTTTCGGTCCCGGTGCTTTTCCTCCCCATCGCCACGGTCGCCTCGGCGAGACGTGGATGGCTTGAGGTGATTGCATCGGCGGGCTTCTTTTTGACTGCCCTTTATTTTCTCGGAGCGTCCCTCGTCTGAAACGTATATCATGATTTGATGATACGTGGAGACGACTCCTTGAATGCCGTGAATGAGGGGTCTCCCCATGATCACGTTGTATGCAGATGGAGCATCTACGACCAAAAATTCGGCCATGATATTCCTAGCTGCTCGGCCTTCGCCGATGGTGACAGGAAGTGTAATCTTCCCGTCAGGATACGATGAAGAGCCGTTGAATCCAGACACCGGGTAGGGTGCGGGGGCCAGGTGCTCGGCTCCCATCCTCAGCTGGTCGAACGCTCCTCGGAAGAGGATGTTCGCCCCGCTACCGCCGTCGACGAGGGTCCGCCAGACGTTGCGGTTGGCGATGCCCAGAATGATTACTAGTGGGTCATCGTGGGGGTATACCACCCCCTCACAGTCTTCGGCTGTGAACAGGATGTTCGGCGCCGGTGACTGGGACTGCCGAAGCTCAGCCTGATGAATCTGATGGGTTAGACCCCTCAGTTGGCGTTTGGCTGTGCCTCGCGAGATTCCCCCGGAAATAACTAGGATGTCGAGGGACTCCTTGCCCTGAGGTCCCTTATCCTTCTTCCGAGCGAAGTTGAGGTCCTGCCGAGAATCTTTTTCAGCTTTTTTCTCCTCGCGCCTGTCCGCGAGGTATTGGCTCAGGTACCCCTTGCGGACCAGATCCTCAATCTGGTCCTTCAGCTGGACGCAGTCCTCGGTGCGATGTCCGGGTGAGTCATGGAACTCGCACCACTGGTCCTTTCCCCTCGTCTGATGCCAGGGAGGCAACGGACGAGGTTTTTTGAATCTCCCCTCGTCCTTCGTCGTGCTGAAAATCTTAGCACGGGGAAGGGAGAGTGGAGTGTATGAATCGTACCTTCCCGTGTAGGGAAAGTGTCTTTCCTTCTTCGGCTCGGCAGCAGAGGACGGTTCTGAGGCCTTAGCCTTCCCTTTCCTCTGCGCCGAGACTTCGGGCTGCTGCCCTTTCGGCTTCTCAATTCTCGGACGAGACTGAGACCTGGATCTGTTCCACTCCTCGGCTCGGATGAACCTATCCGATGCTTCCAAGGCTTCCTCCAGGGTCTGCGGGGGATGCATGACCATGAAGTCCAGGAACTTTCCAGCTTGGAGGCCGTTCCGTAGCGCGAACACGGCCAGGCCTTGATCCAGGCTTGTGATTCCGGATGACTCGTTGCTGAAGCGAGTCAGATAGTCGCGGAGGCTCTCGTCCTCCGCCTGCTGCAGACTCATTAGCTCTGCAGTGGTCTTCTCTCGGCGGTTGGCCGTAGAGAATTTGCTCTTGAACTTGTTGGAGAGGTCGTTCCAACCGGTTATGGAGCCTTCCTTGAGCCCTTTGGTGATCCAGGATTGGGCAACACCTTTGAGGGTCGTAGGAAAGTATTTACACCAGGTAGCCTCAGACCTCGGGTTCAGATACATGTGCCCCTCGTAAGAGGCAATGTGATCCTTAGGATCTGAGGTACCATCGTAAGTAATATGTGCCGGGATTTTGACCGTTGGCACATGCTCTTCCAGAATCCACTTCTGGAAGGGCGAGTTCGATGGAACCATGACCGCCTTCCCCTTGTACCCAGCCTCAGGGACCTCGCTCCCTCCTCTCTCAGAGGTGGAAGTGGTTTTCGTCCCCGGCTGAGACAAGGTTGGGTGGGGTCCGGTATCCTCTGGGAAGGTGAGGCGGCTATGCACACTCACCTCCCTCGAACCCAAGCGTTCGTGAACGCTTTGGCGGGCGAATTCCGGGTCCTTGGAGGGCCCCATGGAATTCTGAGCTTCGGAGTGGTCAGAGGGTTGAGGGTTCCTCCTCCTCTCCTTACTGGAGTTTCGGGTGTCCCCTCGCCACCTCTGGCCGAGCTCTCTATGTGGTGGAACTTGTCCACCATCATCCTGACCGATCCTCCTTTTCAGGCTTCTCGGCTGGTGATCATCAGGCATCTGGATTGGAGCCCCTTGAGCTTTAAGGAACTCCATGCAGATGGCCACTGCTCTGGCCACTTCCTCGGTGGAGGGTCCGGAGGGAGGAGTCTCCCGCGGATGTGACCTGGATTGCACGCTATGGCGCGGCGGGGAGTTCCTCGCACCTGAGCCACTCGGTCTCGGGGATGGCCCCGGCTGCCGAGTGTGGTGCGAGGTGTTCTCCTCCTGGAGGCTAGGACCTCTTGAGGCTTCCCTTTCCGGAGAAATGGGGGCCTCCGATTCGGAAGAGGCTTGCTCCGGGGAGGGATAGACCGGCTGGCGTTCCCTCACCGTAATCCGGCCTCCTCCCTTCTTAGCCTTCTTGGAACTCTTTCCACTCTTAGTCATGGCGACTGCCGGAGTGTTTGATGACTGACGCGAAATTTAGTAGCGTTCCCCACAGACGGCGCCAAATTGTTTCGGATGAAAACAATCGAATCTCGGAAGATCCTTTTATCTTGAGGGAACTTGGTCTCGGTCCGAACAACGCAGGAGCCGAGGGTTTCCTGCACAACAAATACACGTAAACTAGCCTCGGGGGGGACGCCGAGGAAGGCCCCTCCGATGCTTAAGTCAGTATATTAGAGAGAGAAAGCTGTGCAAGAGTTTAGTTGCTTGAGGCTTTATTGTCTTACCAAGAATTGACCAAATTGTTGGCTTTTATACCTTGGCTAATGAAGGAGGCGGATTGGGCCCGGAAGTCAGTTGGGCTGGGCCAAGCTGATTGGGCCGTTGACTGACCTTGACATGGCTTTGAGGATGTTGATTTTTGACTTTAGCACATTTGGAGAGTTGAACCTTAACCTTGGGCTTTTAATTGGATCATTCAGTGACCAGGCCCAATTGGACTAAATTGGACCCAAACAATTATTATACCTTTATTGTGCCATTACTACAAAATTAAATACGAAGTATCACTTTAAAAGGATTTAGGGACTATAAATCAATAATTTTACTCCATGTTTTTCTGTTTTATTAAAGGGATTATTCCATAGTATGAAGGGAGTAAATTGAAGCAACGATCATGGGAGGCTATTAGAGTCATTTTGTATAATTGGGTCCATTAAAATTCCAAAATTGAAGAAAATGTGTTGACGTTTTGGTTCGACTGATGCATTTATGGTTCGGTAATGCCGAAGCTGATAAACGTCTAGTTTCCCGCTCTTCTTCAGCTTGTGTCAGAGATTACTTAATCCAGTCTTTAGAGAGAGAATTTTTAGAGTGAGAAAGTTTCTGAAGAATTTTGGGAATATATATATATACATCAACACTTCCTGAAATCTCCTCACTCTTTCTTTCTCTGTTAATTTTAGCTTCTGGGTATAATATTAGCTTCTGGGTATTCTATGAAATGGCAAAGTAAGCGAAATTAACTTCAACCCAGATATAAAAATTAAATCTTTCAATTTTTTTTTTTCTTTTGAAGTTGTTTCTGTGAATATCTGTTCAAAACTTTTCATGGGGTATGTTGAAATTTGGGGTTTTTGTAAGGAAATTCTGGGGTTTTTCTTTGAGGGGTTGATTTTGATTGTAAGTTTTCATATTTTCGCTCAATTTCTATGTTTTTCTACTGTTTCTAGGGTTTAGACTAGAGGTTTAATCAATTTTTTGATATTTCGTTTATTGGGTTTTTACCCCTTAAGATTACATTTTCTGGGATTATATTTGCTGGGTTATTCATGTTATCGAATAATTTTATATGACATTGCAAAATTATTTTAGTTATAAATATTGGGTGTTACCTGTTTTGATAATGTGGGAGCATGTTTAAAAGTTTTCTATCGAATTCTTTGGTAATGAATTTGATTAAACATTTTAACATATTTGATTTTGGGTTTTACATTTCTTAGCATTTTTGGTATTGGAGTTGCTCTACTTAGCAGATTTGAGGACAGATGAAAAATCTTAAAATCCCCTATTCTAGGAGCTTGCTACATTTTAATTCCAATAACAGATATGGAGTTTGTGCACAGGAAGTTTAATCAGACCAAAGAAGATTTTCATGAACATGGAATTGATTGTTGCAATGTAGACTTTTTGCAAAAACTTTAAAAAAGGCAGTCTATCTGTCTTGTTGATGTGATAGTCTTTCAACTAACTGAATCAAATGTCATAAGCTGTGAATATGCCATGAACAATTTATTAACATGATTAGAAATTATTGTTCATGTCCTGCATTTTAGCTGAGAGTTACATTCTTGTTTGTTATAAAAGTTTACTGTGCAATGCTGTTTCACTGCTGCATTGTGTTGTGTTGATGGTTTGCTATGTATTTGTAAATTTCGTGTTTGTCGGGTTGAGTCATTCTCTGATGTTTATTTCTGTGTGAAATTTGGTGTTGCAGAAGTTGGATTGTTGATAGTAAAGGGATTGCTAAGAAAGTAAGGCATGCATCCTTACCTTCAGGTGTGCAGATTAAAGACTGTGGAGCAAAGCGCGAATGTCCAAAATGCCATCATTGGATTGACAATAGCGATGTAAGATTGCTATTATGATGTACTTCTTCCGTTCTTTTTAAATTGCAATGTTGGGAGTTTCTTAGAAATTTGATTTCAGTATGAAGAGTCAAGACCATTAATTATCAAGTGCATCATTCATCTTCATCTATGCCTCATTTTCGACATAGATCATGTCCTCTAGCATTTAATAAATAATTGTCGAGTGTAACTTGAATGTGAATTGTGTACAGTGTAATCTAAAGTCTTTATGTTATTTATCTCCTGCTCAGGTGTCATATGAATGGCCTGGTCTGCCTGCTGGTGTAAAATTTGATCCTTCGGATTCACAGCTTCTTGAACATCTTGCAGCAAAAAGTGGTGCAAGAGAAGTAAAACCCCATGCATTCATCGATGAATTCATTCCAACACTTGAGATGGATAAAGGGATTTGCTACACTCATCCGCAAGATCTTCCAGGTTAGGAAGCTTTCATCAGATATAATTTGACTTAGTACCAGGATTTGGCACTTATAAATAGACAAGATAAAAATGGCTATTAACTGAATGATGATCAAAGTGTACTTAATTGCCTTAAATTGTTCTGCAGGAGCTACTAAAGATGGAAATAGTATTCATTTCTTTCACAAAACTTCAAATGCATATGCTTCTGGCCAGCGAAAGAGGCGCAAGATTCACAATGAGCAAAATCAGGAGAACGTCCGCTGGCACAAGACTGGAAAGACTAAACCTGTGTATGACAATGGAGTTCAGAAAGGCTGCAAAAAGATTATGGTTCTTTACAAAAGCTCGGAAAAGGGATCCAAGCCTGTCAAGTCAAACTGGGTGATGCATCAGTACCATTTAGGCTCTGAAGATGATGAGAAGGATGATGCATTCGTAGTTTCAAAAATATTCTACCAACAATCAAAGCAAACTGAAACAGAAGACAATGGTGTAGCTGCTACGGATGATTCTAATGCTGTGCTCAATCCATATTGTCCGAAGACTCCTAAGATTGTTACACCCAATCCTCCTAGAGGAAGCTCTGCCCACTGTGATGATGCTTTGGATGATAATGTGCTTGCTGCTGCTGAGGTTAGTTTCAACTGCTAGTGGTTTTGAACATTTCGAATGCCTAATTTATATTTTATATAATGTGCTTTGACTATCTTGAATTATACAGAGAACATAGCCGATAAATGTGTTCATACCAAATTTGATCTATAAATTGAGTTTTATATACAAAGTACATGACATATTGACATTAGCTTTTATGGATTTATTTCGAGTTGCTTGCAGCTAAGGGTTTTGACTTCCTTGTGATATGATGCACCATATCGTCAACTTGTGTTTATGCAGGGATTCTCCTATGAAATTATGGCATAAAAACTTATGAAATGTTAATGGTGCATCAGGAATTTGTTTCCTGCTAAATTTACCGTATTTTCTTTTTTCTTCAGGCTTATGCTATTTTCCATTAATCACGTCTGTCCCTTGTTGCTTATTGACACTAATGCAGGTAATTTTATTTCGTATCAGGATACAACATGTGCAAAGGTAGAATCTTGTATAACTCCATCCACTTCATATATGGGAAATGTCGACCCTCCTGAATTGGCAGGGGAGTCTCAGGTTCAAGACCCTGGCTTGAATGACTTTGGCTTGAATGACTTTGGCTTGAATGACTTTGATGAATCGTTGCTCTGCAAAGAAATTTTTAGTTCTTGTGCTCCTCTCGACGACACCATGAGCTTAAATGACTTGGATGACTATTGCCAATCTTATGGCATCAGCAATTTTGATAACATACACCTAGACAGTGAGCTTCAGTTTGCAGTAAGTTTCCTTATTCATCTTATTGCTGTATATGCCTAATTTTCATCCTGATAATAATATATGATCCTCCGGTTACTTACTGCAGGATTTACTGCTTGGTTCTCAAGACAGCGTTCTTAATTGGGTGGACAAGCCATGATAGAATCAGCTGGTGGATTCCCAATTTTGTAAGGACACACCCCATGGCAAATATCTTCGCCGTTGCTTTCTTTCAGGGTTACACTAAGGGATTTCCGTCCAATGTTAGCATTCCCATCATCAATTTTTCTTTGCCGTGACACACAAATACGTATTCTTTTGACGACTGGACGACTGTTGAAGCAAAGAGAGCCTTTCTAATCTTGTGTTATATTCCTCAGAAATGTTTAGCAAAGGAAAATATTGACTTTTTTTTTTTTTCTTCTTTTTTCAGTTACTTGTATGATTCTGTATCCTAACTTGTGACAAGGTTGTTTAGTTGTTTGTGCTGTTTAATGCAATCTATATGTATATACTTTGTGTATATTATGTCTTCGTGACTAAGTACTTGTGATAACCTACAATATCATGCTTTGATGATTATGGACTATGATTAGCAATTTATAGATAGTTTGATACTGGTGCATTTATAGCTCATACCACAATTCAGGTTAGCATAATAATGAGTAATGACATGTTAAGTTATGAGCGAGCTCGCATTCGAAGGTAAGGATTTGATAGCTTGATCAATGCATTCTTGTCCAGTTAAATTTGGATTTTGGACATATTTTGGCCTTAGAATATATCATTGTTTTTAGATCTTATAAAAATGGAAACTACCCTACGGCACAGTCATGGCCACAAGGGCCAACTACTGGTACAAATGTACAATACATTCATTTGTAGCTTTGTATGAATTTTGCTGAAGCTTCTTTTGTTTTGTATTGGTTGTTTGAGACAATCATACCCCATTTATTAGGATATGTTGTGATACTTCCTCCCTGCAAATTCTTTTCTCTGTTTCTTTACAAATATTTTAAGAACATAAAAAATATTAAGATTGTGTGTATGTTACAGCTAAATCTATTTATTTGTTTCTACGTGTTTGTGCCTACTGAGTTTATGAGAAAATTTGTTGTTAGCTTATTGTGAATATTCATAGGATATAATATGTAGAGTACATGACAATATCCTTGGTCATTAAGTTATACAGAGTAAATTAAATTAAATATAGATAAACTATAACAATAAAATTTTTCTTAATAAAAAATAAAAGAAAAAAACCTTATAATAAACTCGGTATATACTAACCAATTGATATTGATCAACTACTTGTATCAAATATTATATGCAGTGGCGGATCTTGATAAAAAATATTAGAGGGGCCGGGGTTTAAAAAGTTTACCTCTTGCTCAAAACTATCTTTGTAGTTTGTACCCCAATATTTTATAAGTAAATATAAGTTATTTAAGTTTATTGACTAATTAATTACAATAATTTACGGGGGGCTGGCCCCGAATGGCCCCGGTGGAAGGTCCCCCTTTGATTATATGTCATCCTATCTAATTACTACTACAAAGTATAATTCTTAAGTATACTAGAATTTTGATAACTATGACACTTACCATTAATTTATTAGGCATTTCTATTCAAAAAAATAAAAAATTATTAGGCATTTTCCCATAAAAAAATCCTAAGCATCCTAATAATATACTCAAATAAATATTCTTAACAATCAATTAGTTGTTAGTGTAGTCGTGATTAGGGTTGTACTTGGTAGAGAGGACCGCGTGTTTGATCCTATGCAACAACAATAAAAAGATGACTGAAATCTAACCACTCAAAATTGAAGCCTCGAATCCGAATCAACCCGAAACACCGGGAAAAAAAAAATCTTTAACAGATTCACACCAATAAGATAAGAAAGTTCATATCTTTATCTCGCCTATATATTTACCTTGAGTCCATGACTCCATGACCAAGTAAAATTAATCTTTTGAGAGCGACCAAGTAAATTAATCTTTGAAGAAAACAATTTAATTATTTTTTAAAATTTAAATAAACCCACATAAAAAAAAATCTTGGTTTCTAAAAAGCAATCACACAATACTAGTTAAACTCAACTTCCAGGTCTTCCCTGTACGCTATCCATCTCTTCTCTCTCTGTGTTTGCAGAAATTACCAACAAACACCTTTTCCTCCTTTTTCTCTCTCCTCCTTTTCAGCATGCTATCTTCTTCTTCTTTCTTTTACCACGATAAATTTCATTCTTTTTCTATTAAATTTCCCAACTAAATAAAAGAGGGGGAAATCAATCCTAAATCAATCAAATTTAAACCCAAAAAAATTAAAAAAATCAAAGTACCCAGTTCAGTTGTACGAAAAATCCAGTGAAGAGAATAATAATTTCTGTGTTTTTAAACAAATGGGGTTTTTGATTGATCACTGATCTCAAAAGGGTAATCGGATAATAAAATACCCAGAAAAAAAAAAGGATGGATTTTGATGCAGGAACTTCAAGGTGTCGTATTGTTGGGGATTATATAATCGGGCCTAAAATTGGGTCGGGTTCATTCGCAGTGGTTTGGAAGTCAAAACATCGTCATCTGGGTACTGAATTTGCAATCAAAGAGATTGATAAGAAGCATTTTAATGATAATTTGAGGAAGGAGATTTCTATTCTTAGAAACATTACTCATCCTAATATAATTCGCCTTTTTGAAGCCATTGAGGTATTTTATTCGATTAATTATTATTATTGTGGTTTTTTTATAAATTAAAGGTTTTTTTTTTTTTTTTTTTTTTCTGATGATTTTTTTTTTCATGGGTTTTTATAGACAGAGGAAAGGATATACTTGGTATTGGAGTATTGCGATGGTGGTGACCTTGGAGCTTACATTCATAGGCATGGTAGAGTTACTGAAGATTCTGCTAGGCACTTCATCAAACAGCTGGGTAACTTTTTATTTTTTAAAAAATGAATTGATTTAGTGATTAATTTCTTATTTATCTGTAATAATTAATTATTGTATACTAAGTATTCTGCTATTGTAGTCATTATTGTTTGGTATACTAATTTTGGGATGTGGGTCAGTTTCTACAAGAACTTAAATTTGGCTAGAATTTTAATTGCTTATACTCATATATGGAGTAAAATAGTAAATGTATAATGTATGATTTATATAGTCAGTGTTGAAATTGCTAATCAACTTAATTTAGTTATGTGAATTATGATGCTTTTTGGCCTGGGCTTTGGATTCGGATGAGTAGTTACTAGAAAAGAACAGGTATTAATTGAAATTGATGTGCAGCAGATTGGGAGAAGGCAAATGCTTTTATAAGACAGGTTATAACATGATTCAAATCGCCGTATATCTTATGGAAAATTAACTTTTATTGGCTTTATACAATCAAAATCACCTGGTTTCTGTAAAGATTACCTGTATAAGCTACCCATTTCCCTTATAGTGATCTTGATCTTATGGAACACGTGTTTTATTCAAGATCAGTATGTGGTATTGCTACTTGCCTGCGATCTTGTTTACAATGAAATAAAATAACCGGGTGCATTGTTTTTTCTTAATTTTTTATTTTTACCCTCATTATGAAACCTTGGTTGCTTATTCAGCTGCAGGATTGCAAGTGCTTCGTGAGAACAATCTTATTCATAGAGACCTAAAACCCCAGGTACTATGTTCTTAGAATCTTTATCCAACAATGTCAATTATATCCTTGTCAAAAAATAATACAGTGTACTACTATCCAACCATCCATGCTCTAAAAATAATTTGCAATGGCAAAATTTGGGGAAGTTAAAATTTTATGTACAGCACTATGAAACATTCATATTGCCTGTTGATGTTGTGGCTCCGATATTTTCTGATAATATACGCCTTTGCTCGTTTATAAGTCCTAAGTGGTCTGATACTGAGATTAGAATTATTTTGAACTTGCAGAACTTATTGTTATCTGGTAGGGAGGCAAATCCGTTGCTGAAGATAGGTGACTTTGGCTTTGCTAGGTAGGATGTTTGCTGTCACATCTCCTCCTCTTCTTCTTCTTCTTCTTCTATTCTATTATTCTGTGCTTTTTTTTATTTGGTAACTATGCACTTAAAACTGGCTTCATCCCACTTTAGTCCTATTCCTTGTAATTATATGATGGTTATCTACTTCGGCAACTTAGAAGTTCTCAATGAATGCTCATGTATCATTCTAAGTTCTAACGGCTTCTTTCTGACCTTATCTGTATTGTACTCCTTCCAACCTTTTGTGTTTTATCCATCAGTGTCATTTCATTTTAAAAACAACTTTTCTTATGCTTGGGCTCAGCCTTACTCGTTACTACTATCTTGCTACACTAACTGAAAAATTTGCTAATAATCATCGATATTATTCCATCCATTCCTTAAGTTTGTCATGTATTTGATTTTGGGATGTTCTAAAGTTTTTGCAAAGTTCTTTTCTTCTCTTTTTCGGATACTCCCCAAGTTCTGTCCATTCCTGTGATGTCTGACTTTCTGAGTAGGCAGATTGAATGTGTTTAAGTGTTATTTCAAGTGGTAGTTCGTGGAATCTAATGGCTTAGGTTCCTATAGTTATCTGCCTTGTTTGGCACATTATTTCTAGATACACTAATTTTAAGAAACTGTTTATCTTGTAGATATTTGACTCAACAAGGCTTGGCTGATACACTTTGTGGTTCACCATTGTATATGGCGCCTGAGATCATTCAGAATCAGAAATATGATGCTAAAGTATGCAAGTGAATCTAATGCTCTTAAGTTAGGGAATCGTTTGGCGTATTAATACTCACGTAATGGTCTTGTTTTCCAGGCTGACTTATGGAGTGTTGGAGCAATTTGTTATCAGCTGGTGATTGGAAAACCACCATTTGATGGAAATAGTCAGCTGCAGGTCTTTCTGCTTTACTTTTATGCATATTCTGTAATGTTAACTATTGACTGGGGTGTATAAGTTATGACTTTGAACTTTTCTGTTGTGTACAGCTTTTCCAAAATATTTTGAGATCGACTGAACTGCGATTTCCAGAGGGTGCCCTGCAGGTACTGCATCCTGACTATGTGGAGTTCTGCAGAAGCCTTTTGCGTAAAAATCCAGGTACCTTTGTGCGCAACTAACCTTATTGGTAAAGCTATATCTGATGTGGCATCCATTTTGATTCCATAAATAGCGTTTTGTTCCTAAAAGTAACTGGGATAAACACCGAAATTTTTTTGACTAAAGGTAGGAGTTGTTGTATTAGCACAAAGCAATTGGCATGTCGGCTTTGCCGACCAGAAGTGAAAATCTTCTTTATGGATGCTATATGAACTTGTCATTTAAAAGTATATCTGTAGGACTTGTGAAGAAGAGAGATGAATATATGGCTTCCACATACCTGTAGGGAATTTACATCTTACTGGTCCTTGGTGTGTGTCCTCTCTGCTTTGTTGTTGGTATTGTTTGGATATGGACACTGCAGAAGCAAGAGCACTTCATTTAGGTTCCATGATGAAAGGTTAGGGGTTATGGAGTGTATGCAAGATTAGGGAGACTACTTTTGTGTTGAAGTGCTGTCTGGGTGACAAAGAAGTTGGTTATAAGGCATTTTATGAGGCTGAAAAATCACTGGATAGCTACAGTGCCCTCTCATTATCTAAAGTTGTTTTCTTGATGCAGTTTCCTCTGTGGAGGTGGGATTCTATTGGGTTGCAGTGTTGTCTTCCAAATTTTAACGATAATGGTATTTGAAGAAATATATCTTATTGCTACCCGAAAACTATTGATTTACTATTTAGCTTATGTGTTGGTCAGCTTGAGTTTTGATCGAATAGGTTACCTCTTTGTTGGATTTCCTGGAAATCATAGGCTTATTGGTGTGACAATTCATGACATTAGGGTACTCAAATATTTGGAGAAGTTCAGATACATTATTTATAAATTGAGGAATATGACAGATTGCTATCTGTAATAGTATATCTGGACTATACGGCTGACCTACACCATTAAGAAGATATAAGATGTTATCTTAAAATCTGGAATTAGATCATTCTATTGGAAGAAATGGATATCAGACACTCTATTAATTGACCAGTTTCGTATTTGATACCTCCATTGCTAATGTCTACTTGTGTTTGCTTATGGATGTGATCTTTTGGAGTAATTAGCTTGACATTAATCTATAACATATTGTGTGCTCTCATTTATTTTAAGCTGGCAAAGGTCTTTGAATTGTAAATGTAACCCTATTCTTGGATACTTTTTCTTATGTTACTTTGGTACTTAAGAGTATGGGTACAAAAATGTTCAAGGCAATTGAATTGTCGGGTACATAGATACTTAGTGTTCAAGGCTTGAATTATTGGACACAAGGACATGCTTTTCATGAAACATATTCCTGATTATAGAAGACATTTTGCATGTGCCTTTTCACTTCACTAATATGCACACTCACACTCACTCACATTTAGCTCTTGTAAATTCTAATATTAGGCCCATTTATAGCATTATGCTGCATGCTTTTCCCTTCCTGACCTTTCTTTTAACAAATTCTATAAATTTGTGGTTTAAGATAATTGATGTATCGGTAAACTTTTCATATTCTTGTCATATTAAGTCATGTTTGACGAACTGAAGAGTGAGTGACACACTCTTTAACCTTTATTTGAGTTGCATGCCAAACCACAACATGGGATAAGCAATAAAAGCAGATAGTTTTCCTGTTTTGATAAATGGTTTGAAATGCTATTAGTGGGCTTGGCATGCATGTTCCTAGCTCCTCTCTAGATTTTAAACTTAATTTTTTTTTTAATTAGCAGCAGGCTAAACCATTATCTAATCCCAATTGGGATGATTCCCAATTGGAAGAAAAGGCTCTTTGTATTTGTATACCATTTAATTTAATTATTATATTGAGGCTTCATTAGTGAGAAATACTCTCTTTATTGGTAAGGAGGCTAAGGACTAAAAAATATTTATCTGTTGGAAATGTCTCCATATATTTAATATGTTGTAGTGTTGTACCCTTGAAGAAAGTATGGTGTAAATAAAAATGTATTCATCTTCTTTTTAATTTATTTATTTATTATTATTTTTTTATATCCATATTATTTGGAAAGTTGGATTTTGTTTAGGGAAACAGGGGGAGTTGAGGAAGAAATATTACTCATAATAGTTAGTTTTGTTGGTTTGTGCTTGCAGTTGAACGCCTAACATTTGAGGAGTTCTTTAATCACAAATTCTTGATGGGCCCCAGGTAGTTTCTAATGTGAATCTTTAATCCCTTTATAATATTATCAAATAAGTACATCTCAGAACTAGGTTCTGGGGAAATTCACATGTATGCAGCCTTATTCCTACTAGTAAAAAAACATTCGAGAAGCTATCTAATTTTTATTGATCTATTTCATTTACAATTGGCTGCATAAGATGCTAATGTCTGTTCATTGGATAATTAGTTGTGTAATTGTCTTATCATATGCAGGATCGAAGTCAATGCAGAATTGTCTTCTCAGATCTCTCAAATTGAATCTCTGAATATAGCTGATGATCAGGGTCCTCAATTGCATCATGAAGATGAAAAGCTGTCTGAGGAGAAAATAAATCAGAGTTCTGTATACAGTGAGAAAAGAGAATTAGAGAAAGGTCATTTTGGTACATCTCGTGTCAGAAGTGTCTATGGGGTTGTGCCTGATATTACTACTGACAAAAGTAGGCACTCTGATGAGTATGGCTCTCAGTCACTAAGTCAGACTCGAGGTCAGTTTATAAAGATTGCTCAGTTTACTTTCCTTGTTTTTCAGTTAGTTGACTATCTTGCTTCTGTGCCCAGTTGCTTATTCATTGGATTCTATCGAAGGAGAGTATGTTCTAGTTCATTCTAATTTTGCTTCAATGGAAATCCTCACTTCTTCTCTGGGAACTTCCCTGAAAAAAGGTTCAGCTACTAAAGCTTGCAACTTAGCACCAACATATAATGACAAGCAATTGCCTACCATGCCAGAGATGAACGAACTGACTCCCAAACTTGTTGGTGGCTCTGATAATACTTTACAGAGTGAAAGGAATTCATTAACTGCAAGTGGTCCGCCTTCCATATTACGGGAAGCACAGGACCTACCCATACTACATCCTTCAACGAGGTTGCAACTTATACACCAGTATGTGTGTGTTCTATCAGATCTTGCACGAGAGAAGGTAAGCTTCAGGCTGTTCACTCATCAATCATGTCTTGTAGCTTGATTAAATATGCTTATCTTTTTGGCATTTACTTTGGACTCAAGTGACAGTAAGTGGATGTTGACGGGGCATCACTGTGGACATTTTTATTCTGATTATAGGGACTCAAATTATATATTCTGCTTTAACCATAAAAAGAGAAAATGTTTGTAAAGGAATACTTTTGTGATTCTTGAATGTCTGATTTTTTTAGCCGCTTATTGCAGTTAAATGCAGGCGTCTTTTTGGAATCATTTTCAGTTGAATTGGTTGTTTTGGCTCTATGGAATAAAGCATTACGAAATTGTAACTCTTGGCTGCTGCAAAGTGATCTTTCCCAGAGCTCTTCTGCAAATGAATCTGGCAAGGGAGCAGGTTCTTCCTCAAAAGCAAAAGACACTATAGACTTCACGAATCCTTCATCAGTGACTGTCTGGGCTGAGCAAGGCTTTATTGGTGCATATGATGGAACAGAGAAGCTATCAAAGTATTTACAGGATGTAGATGGTAAGATGGCCTAGATTTTGTAATGCAATTTTCTATTCACAAATTAAGTGTTTCTATATCAACTCCAAGGGTACATCAGCATTATTAATTCTCCCCCTTCTTTTTCTGGTGTGTATGTGTGTTTCAGGCGCTGCTGAGATGCCTGATGCTATGGAGGTTATATATCAGACTGCTATTGCTGCTGGGAAAGATGGAGCTGTAAGCACACATATCTTATAAATGTTTAATTTTCAACCCTTTGTTTCCTTTCTTGTTATTTAAGATGAGATGATGCACTGATGCTTGTTTCTTGTATTATTTATTACAGGCAGATGAATTTGTCGGGAATCGAGATAGCGCTGCAGTGTTGTACTCCAGAGCTCTGCTTTTGTTTTCATTCATTGTCACGGAAGCTCCATCGTTGCCACTGAGTCCTCCATTTTCCTTAGCTCCGGACTGTAAGCAGCGGATCCTTAAATATATTAAGAGCTTGGAGTATCATCTGAGTCACTTCCAGATATCCCAGCCTTCTGTGAAGCAGCTGCCAGGCTTCGGTCATAAGTAAATACAAGAAACTGTACAGAATTTCGTAGAATAACATTTGATGGTGGCTGACTGCTAACATTATTCCCAAAAGCCATGACAAGGCCGGCTGTGGAGTAAAAAAAAATTGGCAATACCTTACACAAGAGATGACAAATTTTTGCTATGTGCTTGATTAAGATTAAAATACAGACTTCTTTGTAATTAGAGTAAATCCTAGGAGAGCATGTACATATGACTGTATTCTTTATCTGGATTGTAAATATCAGCACTTCAGCAGTGTTGCGTGTACAGAATATTTCCATGAAAGTATGGATGTTTTTGAATTTGCTGTTGACTTGCCTTGGTGGTATGACGCGTCTGTGTAGTGTGTACTACCTGCATAATGATCAAGTAGTGAGAAAATCCCTCTGAAACTATCATATGTTGTTTTTAACTATATGGCATAATTTAGAACTATGCTTCATATAAATAAGCATAGACTGCCCAAACTGAAACTTGTTAATCACTGGTATCAACAAGATACTTCCGCTACTTCGTAATATATTGGCATATTGCAGATGGTATTGCCAGGAATGTTGGGACTGCGCAGTTTTTGTCAATGTCACTTACCATTACATCATAATACTGGGCCACTGAAGCAACAGAATGTATGATAACATGAAGAGCAGCAGAACAGGTTTGTTTTTAATTTGAGATCCAGAGTTTATGAGAATAATGATTTTAAGTCTATTCATGGAGATTGCAAGCATCCGAGGAAGTCTGAGAAATGAAATAGAGCAATGTAGTCTATTATAGTACAAACACGAAAGGTCTCGTGAACTTTTTAGGACTGAAATAAAGAAACTGATAACTGGGGGGGACTTGTAGTGAGCAAGGTTTCCCTTACACATCAAGTTGAAGCCTCCCCATCAAGGCGCAATCTCTTTGAACATTTTTCTTGCTCCGGAGCGCTGGAGTTCATCACCCTGCTGCTCTCTCTGGCCTCCACAGAACACCTCTTGTATGGCTTAAAACCTGTTCTGTTTGTCTTCAGCTTCCCTTGTTCATGACTATATGTCAGCAGCCCATCTTTGCAATTGTCCTCTTCTCGTAATTTGATTTTTTCTACGCCTTGATTGCTGGAGCAAGATTCCCATGCATTGCTGTTGAGGTCCAATTGTGATGCATTATTGCTTTCCTCAGCAGTTTGCCTAAACTCTTCAACAAACCCATTCATTTCTTGGCTCTTGCCAGTAAAATTTAGTGGTGGTGAAAAGCTCTGGGGCAAAACCTCTCTAGAAAAAAGTGCTTGAAATGCCAGCCGCCCCTGATATTTAAATTACACAACATAAGTTAACAAATAAACAAATTCTATCATTCGGTTAGGTAATCATGAGAGAGAGAGAGAGAGAGAGAGAGAGAGATGCAATTACCCCCTCGGAAACCTCCTTCCAGGAATCATATAAGTTGCCAATGATTCGATTGCGGCGACTACTAGGTTCACTGGTAGGACGACTTACATCAGGCTCGTTGGCTTCTTCTTTTTCTTTATCAACTTTTTCCAAAGCATCAGTTTCAATGTCGCTGCCTGAAGGTGTGTTAGAACCACAAGATGAGCGATCCACCTGTTTCTTGCTCTTCCCCTTGCTTGTGTCATTTTGCTCACTTAAGTCAGGGACATCCTTCTCGTTATTGTCGGCTGCCACTCCAATATCCATTTTTTCACTAATAATGTTACCGGAATCAGACGAAGATGTCGCTGAGGATTTGGATGCTGAATGTTGTGGCTTTAAAGCTACAGACAATTCCTGGTTAGGTTGCTGAACTTGTGATCCAGGAATTTGGAAATTGTTCTCTTCCTTTTCTTCATTAGCAGGTGGAGTTTGGCCAAAATTAGCTAATGGAGCAGTTGCTGAAGCAGGAGGAAAAGAATAGCCACCATGTAATGGAGCACACAATGGCAGCAGTCCATGTGCTGCCCACCAAGCAGTAGCAGCTGCTACTGTAGCAGCAGCAATTGCTGCTACACTAGGAGCCGAGTTCATTGGACGAGGAGGGAAACCTCCATTGGAGCCTGCAGGAGAATTGGCTGAATTTCCTACATTTGGACAGGGCCAAAATGAAGCTGCAAAACTTGCTGCAGCATGTGCAGCTGGATTCTGAACAAGAGCAGAAACAATCATGCTTGAAAAAGTTGAGGACATCTGCAGAAACGAATAATTTTCCTGGCTGTTAGGAAACGGACTAAATGGAGGATGGGAATTTGGAAACATTTGGTGATTATTGGATTTTGAAGTGCTAGTTTGGCTTTCTACAGCAGCTGAAACAGTAGGATTGCTAAAAAATGCAGGCTGGCCCGGGGTCCCCATTGGATGAAATGCAGGTTCTTGATATGATACATCTGAAGAAAAACCCTGACTGCATGACGCCAGGTTTCCATCAAGAATCTGAACAGGAGCATGTCTGGGAAATGTTTTAGCTGCATTTGTTTCATTTTCTGGCATAGACCAACACTATCAGATTCTTATTTAAGCATCAGCAATGATCCTTATGTTGGTTGAGTTGAAATTGAAATCTCACCTGAGTCATTCTGAATCATCTCCACAACATCAGATTTATCGGGCTCATGACTTGTGTTATGTCCATCAGCAACATTAAGATCTCTTGTTTCATTGTCGGCTAGTGGTTTCCTTATCGGCACAAACTCCTTGAAGTTGGATAACTTTCTAGTTGTTCCCATGGCTCTGGCAGATAATTCATTAGAAGATGCTCCCAAGGCAGATGGTGCTTTTCGGAAAATTGTAAATGCTTCAGTGCACTTGTCACCACCACTGATCTCTTTAGGGCTTGATTCTCCATCATCACCACCAGGTTCCTGAAGATAATTAATTACTTAGTGTATTAAAAAGACAGCTAGTGTATCAGGACTGGAAAGTGTAGGATAAACCATACCTCAGGGAATTGCTCTTTTTCTAAATCTATAGCTTCTTCTGTATTGTGTATAGAGCCTGGTATTTGCTTCCCATCCTTTGCTCTTACCTGTGTGTTAGGGGAACTTATAGCACCAGTCTTGCGAGGATAAGGGTTGCTTGGTTTCCTTTTAGGGCGTGGAGGAGGAATTTCTATATCAATTGCTTGCCCTATCGGAACACCTTTAACAAGAGCCTCCTTTTCCAACTGAAAGCATTAAAACACAACATATCAGATAAAGAACAAATCTAATCATCAATTGAACTTTAAAAGGCAATGTAGAACATTCTGACTCCAGAGTATCCCTCTAAGCAAAAGTATCATAAATATCATATATGTTTCATGATTTTCCAAATTTGCCATTTTTTCAGATACAGATATTTCACAAAATTCAAAACATTTTCAAAACGAAGGCATTCATCTAAATAAAAGGCAATGTGGAAGATTCACAGTCCAAAGTACCCACTCATGAATAGTAAATGTCTAAAATCTTTTCCAAGTTGACCCAAAAGTATATGCCTATTTCAAATTTTTATAAAACAGAGACATTATTTTGGGACTGAAAATCAGAATTGAAATATGATCTATCGCAGGAACTTACACCTTGATGAATTAAAGGATGCAAGTTTTTAAGAAGTCCCTTTCATAAAAGCTTTAAGGGAAACCAAAAAAGAATTAATTAATATAGAAAATGAAAGCCATAGTTGCCTTTGTACCAAACAAATGTTGCATTCAGATATATTCCAGATATGCAGTTATGTTAAACAATCTACTGAAGTTTGAGACAAAGTTGACTTGAATGAGTTAAATCACAGTAAGGTCATATCTGATATTGGCAAAGATAATGCAATACAGATACTAGTATGGACTATGGAATTAAACTGCTTTCAATACGAAATTTGGAATCCCTTATCAGTGGCCCTGGCCATAGAATATTTTTCAGACACTCAAGACTCAAAGGCTCTGACGGACAAATCATGTCAAATTGCCAAACAATATGACGATGCCAATTGCCTAGTACAGAACTCACAGACATCACCGAACTACAACAGACCGGTTGTGGGTGAGATGCATGTTGCATTCTTGCATTTTATTATACCTACCAACTCAATAGATGATACAAGTTTTTCATCCACCTCAGGCATTTCTGAGTATGATCTGGCTGACTTAAGGACATTCTGCAATTTACCTTTATCCTTTTCCTTTTTCTCTGCAGGCCTAATTCAACAAGTAAATTCTTCATGATCTTCTAAACTATGACTATTAACTCACAGCTTAGGAGCTATAATGCAATCTAATTCAAATAGGGTTCTATATCTGCTTATCAATAATCTTCATACTGATTGTCAGTTTTGTAACAAGAGAAACAAATTTCTCCTAAGATCCTTAATTCCTACTTTCATTCCAGTGTGGTATCTAATGCAATATCAGGGATGAGCATCAAAAAAGTAATGTTAATTTTCCGTAGGAATTTTGTGGGGAAAAGAAGGTGAGCACCACTATGAGAAAGGTAATCATGAAGCTTGTCTTCTTTGTTTGAGCTATACCATAATGAATAAAGGGGACTGGTTTGCCCAAGCAATAAGAGCTCGGCCAAACCAGCCCCTTAATGACTTGTAGTGGGAAACTGCTATCTATATGTAGAAGACCTTTTTGCTAAATACCAACACATATAAGCCTATGTTACATGGACTCGGGAATGGGTATCGGACACAAACACATGTCCAAGTGTGTGATCCGGAAAATTACAAAATTTTAGGACACGGGGAATCAGTCCATATTTGGATACGATTACGGATTTACGGGGACACATCAATACGTCACTTAAATTTATATAAATAAATTGAATATACAAAAGCTTTAATTTGTAATTACGTCTACTCCTATTTTTTTTATAAAAAAAAAAAAATTCCTCGGCAAATTCTCCTAATAAATGACAATCTTCTTCTCTCCATCTTCTCTATATCAATGGTAGACTTCGAACAAGATATGTTTTTCTGTCAAGTTTCTCCTCTTTTTTTACTCTCCACACTTATTGGAAGTGTTCGAGTGCACAGAGAAGGGTCGGACACACCAGTGTCCGTGTCCGTGTCATGTCATGTCGACAAGGCACTTTGCGATTTTCTCCAATTAACATAGATATAAACCATATCAACCTTGTTATGATTAAAAACAACACAAATAGTCCCCTAGTTTAAACTTATAACCTTCAACCTAAACAAAATAAGGCATAAGCAAAGCATATGTGAATTCACCATAACTGTATCTTATCTACAGCCAAAAAATCAGTTTCACACCAATCTGGACAGAGCTTCATCATTCCTTATACATGAACAAATTTCATATTTATCAACAGGCTAATTGAAGCCACTCTCCATAATAAATACAAAGGAGGAAAGAATGAAAACAGAAACAAAATATTGTTGATTAACGCCTATTTTCAAAGCAATATAGGAAGACACTACAAGCGCGCGAGCACACACACACACACACTGCTATAGACTCAATACTCAGAGAACACAGTCACCCAATAACACACAGAAAATAGAGGAAAACTTAGATATTTTGATTGAAAATGGCAAATTACGACTACAATTGAAAGATGGCTAAAGCTACATCCTTGAGGGACTACTACACTACACTACACTACTACTACTACACTGCTACTACACTACTTTCACCAATAACAACCTGCCTTCTTCTTACTCTTCCCTCTCTATTTTATACTAGGGTCTATTAACCTAGCAAACTAATATTACTAAAATACCCATATTACCCCCCCCCCCTCTTAGGTTAGTCCACACACACATACACACAAAAAAAAAAACAAAAACAAAAAACATACATCCTTATTTTTCTGGCAAGACTACAGACTATCTGGAAAACATTGCTTAAAGCAATATAAATTGAAACTTGGCTTCATAAGGTTCCTAAAGAGGACAAAAATCTATAATGACATCAGTGCCCCATTGGCCCAACCCCTTTCCTCAAAGTCTCTAGCTTCTAAAATGTCAATAACCTGTGTCCAAGTCTTTGAGAATCAATTTCAAGACCACAATATTCTAGCAATAGTTACCATCAATGCCAGTAGGCTAGCATAGGGATTATGTGTGAGATAAAAAGGGGGAAAAAAGGGAGATTTGCACTTCTGTTTCTATATAAGATATTGTATCTTTTGTATATACCCTTGTGAATCATATGTAAACCAGTAATGAAGGACACTCTGCCTTACCTTATTTAGAATTGTTTGCCATTTAATAGCAGATCAAAGATATTCTACATCATACAACATTCTGCAGAAAATATGTACTTCTAGATCTTCAAGCAGATCAATGTATTAAAACCAGCCAAATGATCGCTGAAATCAAAACATGGCTTCTAACTTGAGATTCACAGCTATGGTCCTCAGAGATGACATATTCACAAAATAGTGCCATGCCAGGCTACTGACATGTCCCACAAAACTAGACACATAGGGGACGGTGTTCCTAATATCCTTAACCAAACAGTTTGTCTTGGTAAATTATTTGGAAGTTTTTAAGGTCGAATCCATGAGAAATAAGATCAAACAATTGATTATTCTCACAAACAAATATATTTCTAACACCTCAGTTACTTATGAGAATCAAGTGAGGAAATTTGCAGATCATTCCAACGAAAAAGATATTAGATCCACGCACCTTAATTGAATTTTTTAATGTACTAGGAAAGCTCATATTTTAGTTCTAGATCATTGGGCCATTGGCAAAGAAGCCAAGAAATAAATCATCATCCTAGTTCACTTAGACTAAGAATCAAAGTAATTATACCCTTTTTCAGCATATAAATCCATCATCCCAATTCACATAGCTCATATCCCTTATGGTTTCCAGTCTTTCCACAAATACCACAATTTTACTAGTAATCCATTTATTTCCCTTTTAGATAATCCTTTATACACAGTCACATAGATAAATGCATGTACTCGCCTGTGCGCACATAAAGGATTGCAAGATATGGGAAGACTAAGATATGTGACATGTTGACAAACAACATAAAACATAATAAGTTCTATTCTAGAACCACCATCAAACCTCCATAAAAAATAAAAAAATTAAAATAAAAAAAATAAAAAAAATAAAAAAATAAAAAAAGGAATCATGAATAATCTCAAGTTCGTGAAAGAAACCCCAAAAATGAAAATGAGAAAGAAGCAAATGTAGATCTAGAATTTCGAAAAAAAAAAAGCATCTTACACAGGGAGAATATCCTTCAACTCATAATTGGAAGAAAAGGAATCATGATTTTGGCCCTGTTTTCTCTTTCTTTTTTTTTTTTTTTTTTCTGGGAAAAATATAAATACTTTTCAAGAACACAGTATTCTACACATTAGTTATATTGGCTACTTGAGTTTGGAAAAAAAAAGGGGGTTGTCCCTCTTCCATTATTTTGTTACAGGTCCCCCTCATCACCAGCCTAAGTTGAATGCACTTGTTACCTTGTTACTGAGTGGAGTACTAGTACTCTATAACAGGTTAGATGGTGCCTACACACTTTATTCTAGCAGCAACCCTCAATCCAGACCATAGAGTGAACTGTAGTAAGGGAATATTAAGGAGGTAATAGGTCGTAACATCTGGGTCTTTTTGAGGACCAACCATCTGCAACTCTGTCCCTACTTGAGAAAACACCCTAATAGTGGTCTACTACGTGGTGGTCGAAGCTGTTATGCCCACCACATAGCTAAAAGATCAGAGAGTATATTATCCAATCTCCACGTTTTGTTCTCATAAAAAGGTATCTCAGAATATTCTTGAAACTATTATTCCCTCAATTCATAGTGATTGTCCTATAATAAGAATAGCTATATGGTGAGATGCATAAATGCTTCATGATATAATACAGTCAATAAAATATACCAAAATGGATGGTAGGACAATCACTGGGAAATGTGGTGTTGAAACCTTCCAGTAGATTATATAAATCTATGTTGCTGAAACAAAGGGATCACACATAGGTGGATACCCCAAATGCCAGCTTTAGGTTTCAACATTACAAGATATGCACTTAAGGAGAATGATACCAGTCACAAAAAACATCATAAAACTTAAGATAAGCCTATGACACTCACATAAATACATAATAACAATTTTCTTAAAAAAAGAATCCAATGGAGCCAAAAGACTTCTTCTTTGGCTTTAATTTAAATGCCTTGATCTAAGTTTATACCAAATTTGATCCTTTCAATTACAACTCATACCAAAAAAAAAAAAAAAAAGTACACAGAATGATTTGGTTATAGAGCTTGGTGTTTGACTACCTATGATGATCAAGAGAGTGAGAAATTGTTTTTTTGGGCGCAAAGAGAGTTTGCTTATACACCCTTTGTTTTTTGATCTTCTGATTTGGTTTTTGCGTATTCTGATTTCATCTCTAAAATTATTCTGTATACTGATCATAGATTCAAAATTCTCTTGCCAATATATGATGGAAATAATAGTTTTTATGGAAGTCCACCTCCCTCCCACAAACAATACCTAGAGTGATTTCAGGCTCCTTAATCTCTAGCATGCTCAACATGACAAGGTAATTGACATTATCAGGCACAACATTGGAAGAATGATTTTTCCCAGATACTAGCAAAAGAAGTTAAAACTTTAACCAAAGTATGAGACGAAAGATACCGATGGACCTTTGAAAAGAACTTCTGTGCATGACTTCTTATCTGGACAGCGGTCTTTGTCCCAATATGTTCTGCACACCACCAAACAGAAAAAAGGAAAAGAGAAGAGAAGGAGCAGCTCTTCAAGTAAGATATAATATATAAAAAAGATTGCACTACAAGCCCGTTTGGTGAGACAAAGAACAGAACTGAATGGATATGGGGGCAAATTAGTCACATTTCCACTGTTTGGCCAACACTAAATCAGAATTTAATACAATTTATAAAACGTTTTAATGGCGCAACTAAATCAAAGGCATTAGTTTGTGTAGAGCATGTGTCTTCAATGGTTGCAACGCTCACATACATCTTGTATCTTCCTGTTGTGCGACAGCGGAAGCAAAGGTCGAAAACAAACAAGAAAACAATAAAGAAATTCAATGCAAACAATAAGAACAACACCAAGAATTTACGTGGTTCACTATCGATGTGATAGCTACGTCCACGGGCACCGAGATCGAATGATTTCACTATAAACTGCAAAGATTACAAAGATGATTCTTGTATTTCTCAAGAACGGCTCTCACTCTGTCTCTCTTAACCCTAATACTGATATTAGGGAGGTTTTATATTAATCCCTAAAATAAAAGATACTTGGGCAAAAAGATAACATAAAAGATAACTTTAAATCGTAAAATCCGCGTCTCCGCATTTTTCCTTCTCCGCCCGGTCAGACCGGGCAAGGTCTGCCCGATCGGGCGCGAGAAGAAAACTCCATACGAATGCTTCAACGTATCCAACCCCCACCGCCCGGTCAGACCGGGCAAGGTCTGCCCGATCGGGCGAAGGCTCGCCCGGTCGGGCGCGAGAGCAGCTTCTTCAACGAATTTGCCAGGCACCTCTTCTTCTTCCGCCCGGTCAGACCGGGCAATGTCCGCCCGATCGGGCGGACAAAGCTACGAAGTACGAGTCACCTAATATACTTATCAACAATCTCCACCTTGACGAGAACTCGTAGTCAGCAAACGACCCCATCAAGACATAGTGAAAAAACATCTCAAGCCAAACCCGATGCAGGACTCATGCATAAGCCATACATCCCGATAAGTCTTCAACCAAGACCCATCACATACTCGTCTCCAAGTATAACAACTCATAATGCTCCACCTGCATCACAAGCCCCGGGCAAGCTCCACCTTAATGCCAACACACCTACACCAGGAGCTCCCCAACTTCGCCCCTCAGGGCCTACTACATCACGTAGTAATCAATATTTAGCAAGTCTAAGCAATGTTTAAACTTGCTAAACGGAACAGGCTTAGTGAAGAAATCAGCCGGGTTGTCAGCAGTCCCAATCTTCTTCACCTTAATCCTCTTGTCAGTACGTAAGAAATGATACCTGACATCAATGTGCTTCGTCCGATCATGGTGTACTTGATCTTTAGCTAAGCAAATCGCACTTAGACTATCACAATACACTGTAGCAAAATCCTGTGCAATACCCAGTTCACCTACTAGGCCTTTGAGCCAAATAGACTCCTTAGCTGCAGAAGTTAGAGCCATATACTCAGCTTCAGTAGTTGACAACGTAACTGATGACTGCAATGTAGACTTCCAACTAACCACAGAACCACCCAAAGTGAACACATAACCAGTCACAGACCTCCTGGTATCCACATCAGCTGCATAATCAGAATCACTGTACCCAGTGACCAAGCATTCCTTATCATTCCCGTACACAAGACCAATATCAGCTGTCCCTCTCAGGTAGCGAAAAATCCTTTTCACCCCTTGCCAGTGTTCCCTCCCAGGTCGAGCCATAAACCTGCTTACAACACTAACAGCATGCGCAATATCCGGCCTAGTACAGACCATAGCATACATCAAACAACCAACCGCGTTTGCATATGGAACTCTAGACATATAAGACAACTCCTCCTCTGATTGAGGTGACATAGACAAAGACAACTTACAACTAACAGTAGTTGGCGTACTTATAGGCTTCGATTTTTCCATCCCAAAACGAGACAGAATCTTTTCAATGTAGCTTTTCTGAGTCAAGAAAAGCTTACCTCTAGCCCGATCCCTGTAGATCTCCATACCCAAAATCTTCCTAGCTGCACCCAAGTCTTTCATGTCAAACTCCGAGTTAAGCATCTCCTTTAATCTAGCAATATCAGATTTATTCTTTGTGGCAACCAACATGTCATCAACATATAACAAAAGATAAATCATGGAACCATTATCCAGCTTACTATGATACACACAGCAATCATATGAATTCCTGTCAAAACCTTGTGAAACCATAAAAGAATCAAACCTTTTGTACCACTGTCGGGGGGATTGCTTAAGTCCATACAATGACTTTAGCAATCTGCAGGCATAGTGTTCCTTTCCAGGAGCTTCGAATCCTTCGGGCTGCTTCATCAGAATCTCCTCCTCCAAATCGCCATGAAGGAAAGCCGTTTTAACATCCAACTGCTCCAGCTCAAGATCAAAATGTGCTACAATTGACAATAACACACGGATAGAAGTATGTCGAACCACAGGTGAGAATATCTCAACAAAATCAACCCCTTCTACCTGACTGAACCCCTTAGCAACTAGCCTAGCCTTAAAACGTATTTGCTCAGTTTCCGACAACCCTTCTTTCTTCTTGTAAATCCATTTACAACCCACAAGCTTCCTCCCTTCCGGTACCTTTACCAGTTCCCACACTCTGTTCTTGTAAAGAGACTGCATCTCTTCACCCATTGCGGCAAGCCATTGCGCAGACTCACTACAACTAATTGCTTGTTTATATGTGGCAGGTTCAAATGACTCTACATCATCAGCTACACTCAATGCATAACCTGTCATCGCATCAACACAGCAATTTCTTCCCTCCATCTCTTCAATCAATCTAACAGGCTTCTTGATAACTCGTTTAGGCATCTCAAGAATGGTGTCAGGTTGACTAGATGACCCCTGATTAGATTGCTCCACCTCATCCCCAGAGTTAGAATGAGTAGGAGTAATCTCAGGTTCAGGAGTACCCGGCACTGGAACATCAGCATCATCATCAATATATTGTACCCGAGGTAAATCAGCAATGGTAGACTGATGTACCTCAAGTACCCCATCTGTCTGTAATAAATTGTCTCCTTCCCTTCTCAAATCTGAAATCTCTGCATTTTTAATTGAATACATGGTGTTTTCATCGAAAGTAACATCCCTACTAAGAATGACCCGACCCTCCGAAGGTGAAAAAATTCTAAACCCCTTCACACCATCCCCGTACCCAACAAAACACCCCTTCTTGGCTCGTGGATCCAGCTTACCCTCAATAACATGATAATAAGCAACACAACCAAAAATCTTCAAATTCGAAAAATTAGGCAACTTACCACTCCAGATCTCAAACGGAATTTTGGAATCAATTCCAGAATGAGGACCCCTATTAATGACATAACAAGCTGTTAACACAGCTTCACTCCAGTACCTCCTCCCAAGCCCTGCATTAGAGAGCATGCATCGGACTCTCTCTAGCAGTGTCTGATTAACCCGTTCTGCTACACCGTTCTGCTGTGGTGTCTTCCTGACAGTATGATGCCGACCTATACCCTCATCTGCACAGAACTGATTAAACTCGTCTTTGCAAAACTCTAGCCCATTGTCCGTTCGTAGCTTCTTGATCTTCCTTCCTTGTCGATTTTCCACCAAAGCTTTCCATTGCTTGAAAACTTTGAAGGCCTCATCCTTTGACTTAAGCAACCTAAGCCATGTGTATCGGGACTTGTCATCAATAAATGACACAAAATAGTGGTAACCTCCCATACCTTCAACTCTAGATGGACCCCAGCAATCTGAATGGATGTAATCGAGCACTGCATCAGTAATGTGAGCACCCTTGCTGAACTTTGACCTGTGTTTCTTACCAAACACACAATGCTCACAAAATTCAAGGTTGGCAACCTTGACCCCGGATAGAAGACCCCTCTTGGACAATAGCTGCATCCCCTTCTCCCCCATATGACCAAGCCTCATGTGCCAAATCTTAGTCATCTCCTGGTGAGATACAGATGCGCAAACCGCAGAACTAGGCAGTGTAACACCCTCAAAAACATAGAGGGTGTTCCTTTTGATACCCTTAAGTACCAACTCAGAACCTCTGAAAATACACAACTCCCCATCTGAAAACACACCATTGTACCCCAATTCATCCAGGGTACCCAATGAAATCAGATTCTTTTCTAAAGCAGGAACATGCCGTACATTAGTCAAAGTTAACCTCCGCCCATCAACAGTCCTCAACCTCATGGAACCAATACCTGTGACCTTACATGGAGCATTGTTACCGACTATAACCATACCCCCATTGCGAGGTTCATATGTATCAAACCAATCTCGACGTGGACACATATGGAACGAACACCCCGAATCTAGAACCCAGTTATCAGATAAATCATCAGACCTAGCAGAACTGACTAATGCTAAATCTTCCTCTGAATTATAGCTCTCATTCGGTTTCTCTTCAACTACAGCAGCCTGGGACTTGTTTTTCCTCACCGGACAATTATTCCTAAAGTGACCCGGTTCTTTACAGTAATAACATGTTTTAGTAGTAGTTTTACTAGATCCATCCTTGCCGTTTCCAGCACCCGACCCAGCATTGTTCCCCTTGTTAAACCCCTTATTCTTTTTAGACTTTCCGGACTTAACAAATAACCCACTACCATTATCCCCATTATCACTCGTAGCTTTCATTCTGAGTTCCCTAGTATGAAGTGTTGCCTTCACTTCTTCTAAGGTTATAGAATCCTTACCAACAACAAAAGACTCTACAAAATTCTCAAAGCTAGACGGTAGAGATACAAGTAAAATCAACGCAGCATCCTCATCATCAATTTTAACATCTAAATTACGTAAATCAAGCAAAATAGAGTTAAGTTTTTCTAGATGTTCCCGTAAGGAAGTACCTGACTGCATCCGGAGGCTAAACAACCGCTGTTTCAGTAATAATTTGTTGGTCAACGACTTAGTCATATACAATGACTCCAGCTTCAGCCACAATCCAGCCGCCGTTTCCTGATCAGCAACCTCCGTGATGATTTGATCATCAAGACTAAGTAATATGGTAGAGTGTGCCTTCTCTTCCATAACTTCTAACTGCGAGTCAGTCGGTCCGTCTCCTGACTCCGAAGTAGTACTCTTTGGAGCCAACGGACGCCATATCTGCTGTTGTTTTAACAGAGCCTTCATCTTAATTTGCCATAGCCCGAAACTATTTTTCCCGGTAAACTTCTCAATTCTTATTGTTGAATCTCCTGCCATTGTTATCTTCAAGAAACTCTCCAAGGATTGAACCTGAGCTCTGATACCAATTGTTGTGCGACAGCGGAAGCAAAGGTCGAAAACAAACAAGAAAACAATAAAGAAATTCAATGCAAACAATAAGAACAACACCAAGAATTTACGTGGTTCACTATCGATGTGATAGCTACGTCCACGGGCACCGAGATCGAATGATTTCACTATAAACTGCAAAGATTACAAAGATGATTCTTGTATTTCTCAAGAACGGCTCTCACTCTGTCTCTCTTAACCCTAATACTGATATTAGGGAGGTTTTATATTAATCCCTAAAATAAAAGATACTTGGGCAAAAAGATAACATAAAAGATAACTTTAAATCGTAAAATCCGCGTCTCCGCATTTTTCCTTCTCCGCCCGGTCAGACCGGGCAAGGTCTGCCCGATCGGGCGCGAGAAGAAAACTCCATACGAATGCTTCAACGTATCCAACCCCCACCGCCCGGTCAGACCGGGCAAGGTCTGCCCGATCGGGCGAAGGCTCGCCCGGTCGGGCGCGAGAGCAGCTTCTTCAACGAATTTGCCAGGCACCTCTTCTTCTTCCGCCCGGTCAGACCGGGCAATGTCCGCCCGATCGGGCGGACAAAGCTACGAAGTACGAGTCACCTAATATACTTATCAACACTAAATCAGAATTTAATACAATTTATAAAACGTTTTAATGGCGCAACTAAATCAAAGGCATTAGTTTGTGTAGAGCATGTGTCTTCAATGGTTGCAACGCTCACATACATCTTGTATCTTCCCTTATTCTACACCAATCAATATCTTGAATATTGAAGGATCAGAAGAAGGAACAGAATACTGCCCGTTTCAGATTTAGCAGAATGGTAAACAAAAATTTTTTGGTGCGAGCCAAACAATAAAATTGACAAAATCATTCCAATTCAATTCTATTCAAATACTATACTCAAAATCCTCATTTGTGAGCATGCCAAGCGGACTGATATGCTCTTTGGTAACAATAAACAATTAATTGATTGAACTTAGATATCATACTCTGCCCCCACCTCACCCTCAATTTGATTTTATATCGAATATTACTCATTTACTATTAGTAAGTAACATTATCATCCACTTGGTATTTCAGTAGATGTCCTACTGAAAGACTAATCTCATAGACATAGATATGGAAACTCGACAACAATTTTTAAAAGAAAAAGTTAAAAGCAAAATAAAAACCTTCAATCCGCTGCCAAGCTCGACCATAGAGTTTCAAGGCCTCCAGAAACCTATTGTGCTCCTCTTCTGTCCATCGCTCTCGTTGCTTGGTGATCGTGTAAGGCTTTCGAGTCTTCAAAATAGAAATAAAAATAAATATATTAATTAGCAAGGTATAAGATTCTTCCCACTCCAGACCACAAAACACTCCTTCTGGTCCAAATTATAAGTCAATATTCTGAATTTCATTTGAATCAAAGCACAAATAAATCAAGACAATTCCTTTAAATCTAATATGTAATTCAATTCACCCAAATTTTTGATCCAAAATATAAGTCCATTTTACCAATTACTATTATCCAATCATCAAAGAATTTAGGCAAACTTTATTTATTCATTATACAAGTAATTTTTTTTCATCTGGTCGAACAGTCGATTAACACAAAATAATTTATCCAAATTATAAGTCAATTTAGCTAAGAAAACTTATTCATACAAAGCCAAACAAATCAAGCCAATTAAGCCAACCTCGTTTGATCCAAAACAATAAGTCCTTTCTATAAAACTCAATACAATACAATCACTACTCCAATACAGTCTAGACAATAATAAAGCTCTTAAAAAAAGTGTAAAAAACCTTGAACTAGTAAAATAAGTAAAAGTAAGGAAATAAAGAAGCACAAGGGGCAAAACAAAAGCACCTTAACGATCGGTTCTTCGCCGGAAGAATAATTGTTCATTAAACGGACACGAAGAGCAGCAAGCTGCTTCAGATCCTCTCAAAAAACAAGCAAATGATAATAAATAGCTTCTTCTCCTTCTCATCTAGTCATCTTTCCCCAAAACCCATAATCGTAGTAGTAATAGTAGTAGCAGTAGTATTACTATAGCTCAATTCTACTGCACAAACACAAACAATTTCCAAACATATTCAAAGATAATCCGCCTTTTAGCATTTCCCAAACCAAATTCAACACAGCATCATCATATCATATCATATCATATATTACTTGTAGTATATAATTTATAACTAATTCTCACTAATTAACAAATAAATAAATAAATAAAATTATAATAAAAAACCAGACTTCCCTCCTTTTCCCCCATTTTCTCTTTTTATTAGTTTTTATTTTCCTTACAATCACAAATTCACAAAATCCTCACCGAAACAATCGTGTCCTCGCAAATCTGCACAATCCAAAAATTTCAAAAAAAAATTAAAAAAAATTCAATACAATTTTCCAGATTCAAAATCATAATTCAACCAAAAAAAAGAAAACTAAAATTAAAAGTTACCTTAATAAGACACAATAACAGATGTTATCTGGTCATGATGAAGAACAAAGTTCACCCCATTGATTTTCAGTAAAAAAAACAATAACAAAACCGATCAAAATTTCAAGTGGAGGAAATTTCTAGAAACCAAAGTAGAGCTAGAAAAAATGGCGGAAATAGAAAGAATTGAGCTAAGTTAGGTAGGAGAGAGAAAGTAAGAGTCGAAGAAGTTTTAGTGAGTGAAACAAAAAATCAGAGGAAATGAAGAAGAAGAAGATGATGATGAGCAAAGGAAGCTGAATTTATTTTTTGTTTTTCCTTTATTTTTGGGGGTTTTTTTGTATTTATTAATTAATTAAATTTCCAAGTTGGAGAGAGAAAAGGATGCCAAATTGAAGGAAGAGAAACCAGGAGTTTGTGAGAGGAAATATGAGCCACGAAAAACACTTGTGGATTTGAATGAATTTTCATTTTTTAAAAAGAAAATAAAATGGAAATAGGTGATGAAGGGCGTAGGATGGTGACAAGTGGCAGTGAGTTAGTGGATGATGTAGAGACCTACCGGTGCACTTTTTGGTGTATTTTAATGTTAATTTAGAAAAAGAAAAAGTGGGAAAAAAATAAAGAGGGATAAAATGAGCGCCACAAACTCGGAGAAGAGCGAGTTGAGGTGAGTCAGAGTAAGATGGAAAAAGCGAGTTGACACGAAGGCAGTGGGGCCTACTTATGGTGGCTGCTGTGGCGCATGTGGTAAGAAATAGTTGATGGAAAAAGCACACCCTTGGATTCGCCCAACGTGGCAAAAGTGTTTGCTACGTGGCGTATGTATATCAGATCTTGCCATTTGAGGAATTTTTCTACACTCGGAGAAAGGGGTCGACGTTTTACCTACATGCCTTCTTCCTCGAATTTACTTCACTCCTTCGCACCTTCTCTCCCCTTCCATTTTACTCCGTACTTCATAGTCTCTTTGTTTTGTATTAAGGGTGTGTTTTATCCACCTAATTTTTACTTATCTAAACTAAATTTATTTTAGTTATATATTAACTTAGACAATCTTTATTAGAACTTATTTTTCTAATCTAAACTTATATGAAATTAATCAAATTATATAAGTGAAAATAGAGCGAACAGAACAATCATCGATACAAAGGGCATGTTCTCTTCAGCTTAATTTCAGTTCAGTTTAGTTTAACTCCAATCAGTTCAGTTCAACTCAGCTTTAAATTTCCTTCTCTCATAGAAAATTCAATTCAGCTCCATTTAGTTCAACTCTTAATTTCCTTCTCTCATAAAATATTCATTTCAGCTCCGTTCAGTTCAGCTCTTAATTTCCTTCTTTCATAAAATATTCATTTCAGCTCATTTCAGTTCAGCTTAGCTCAAATCAATTCAGTTCAGTTTAATTCATTTTAACTCAATTCCGTAAATGTGAATAAGCCCAAAGTATGATTAAATGTTTAACTGGTATTAACAAAAAATTAATGTTCAATTTTTTTTTGTACTAATGTCTAATTATACTCTTTGTTTAACAAGATCATATAATTTTATAAATACAATTGTAAAAATTATAAATAAAAAAAAATATATAATCAATAATGCAAAAGTTTTTAACTGTCAATTGCATATTTTCATGGAACATACATTATGAGTATTATTTTGAAATTGGGAATGGTGGGCCATGCCGTAAAAAAAAAAAAAAAAAAAAAAAAAAAAAAAAATTGGGCCAAACCATAATAATAAAAATAAGGAAAAATAATTTTAAAAACAATAAAAATAAGTATTATAAAATTAAAAATAATAAAAATGAACCATCATAATAAAAAAGAACTATAAATAATATAAATAAAATAATAAGAATAATGGTTGGCATGCGGCCCGACACGACTTGGCCCACTAGGCACATGGGTCGTGTCGTGGCCTGGGGTATGTCATTTGACGGTCCGCCATCACCCAGGCCTGACACAATACGACACAACTCATCTCCTAGCACAATGAGGCACGACTCGCGGCGACACAATACCCAGCTCTAACTACAACTAATTTTTGAAATTGATACTTCGTATGTTATTGTACCTATTTATATGTCCGTTATAGTTCCAAACCAATTCAGTTTAGTTTATGGCCCTCTTAAAGCACCCCGACCTCATCTAATATAGTTTTGGAATTATTACTCAAAACTAAACGAAATCATGTACACTCTATCGAAGTATTATTTTTAATAAATTTTCAACTTCTTATAAACATCGAAGAAGCACTTTTTCAAATACATCATGACACGGCGAATAACCATTTAGGTGGTTTGAGCCATCCACTTTGCATCTCAACTATCAACTTGTGAAGCCAATTACAACTCACAAATTAATCACACCTCACCATGGACTTGTATACAAATAGTGTGACTGACTAATGAGTGTATGTGGTTTTAATTTACCCTCGGGATAAAATACTTTAAACGTTTTTTTTTTTGTCAAGAAAGTTCTCACTTTTTATAGTACTTTAAATTTGGTTGGTTTTGTTGGGTATCATCATAGGATAATTATTGTACTCGTAATATTTTAAAGGGAAAAAAATTATGGCAAAATTGAAAAACTTTCATGCAATAAGGTTATTTTCTTTAGAATATTTTTTAAGGTAGAGAGAATTCCCTTACAAGTTGGGGAAAAATTCAGAAATTAGGAATCCTACATGCTTAAGGTGAGAATCGAACCCCTCTCATCTATGGAAGATCGAAAGGAGAGCCTTCAACTAGTTAGACTAACCTTGATTCTCAAAATATAATTCTTTATAAACTAATTAGACAACCCAAATACTTTTCAATACATTGTCTGTTTTATGACATCACTTGTGCTTTAGCTTTAACATTTTCGATTGAGTTTATAATATGTACATCACTCATTATCTAGGATTCTAGGTTATACCGTGCCAATATTTTTTGCTAACCACTCAAAAATGTTTCACACTAATAAGGTAACTTCAACATAGTTGTTCTAGAAATTTGTAAATTTAATCCTTATTTATACCGACCAAGCTAGCTAAACTAGTGGATGTCACCCATCTATAAAACTAGTAGTCCAATATAAGTGGGTAGTCCAAAAAAAAAAAAAAAAAAAAAGAAAGAAAAAAAAAAAAAAGAAGAAAAACTAGTGGATGACAGAAAATCTAGAGTTTCCAAAGTTTCTTTTTGACAACTTTCTACAATGTTAGCTTTTGAAAAAGGTTTCATGCAAGCATTTAATTAGGCCATTAAGTCATACATCCATAAACAATATGCAGTTGAAGTCCAAGTCCAAGACAATTGACTTTAAAGCCCAACAATATATTTCCAAACTTTCACTTCAGTTGAACCAAATGATATCATAGTGAAACAATATGTAAGAGACCAATAAGTGCTCATTTGGTTAAGGGAAATACTCCAAATTTTAATTTGAAAAAAAATGTAAAGCTATATTTGATTTCATTTTAGTGGTATAAAACGAAATTTGTCTTTCAAGCTAATTCAATTTCTAAGAAATGATCCTAAGTACGTATAACTATATCTACTACGTAATATATTTATGTGGGTAGTACAATAAGTGGGTAGTTCAATGAGCGCATCTTTCGCCGGAGTGAATATATATAAACTTTAGACCAAATAAAGAGAAGTAGGGCAAATAATAAGTTGCACATGAAGCTAAGACTTCCTGAATGTGTTGCATCATCTCCACCTAACAATGATATGTTATACAATAAGTCAATAATGTACATAAGAAGAATATTTTTGTGACGATAATTTTTGGATATAGTCTTATCAGAGAACATGAGTAAGTTATGATTATACGATTTTATGATAAATTTGGCGTTTATACTCATGTACTACCACAACCTACTATTTAGTTTACTTTATTTTGAGTACGTGCAGTGTTATCTAGCATATGTTTTTAGTAACCAAGTTACTCTGTAGTACTTAGCATTGTATGCAGTCTAAATATGGCAAAATTTAGTTAACAATAATAGATATATACTAGGTACATGAATTATTTTAAATTTTACAGAGTAATAACTTGTACGTACATGAATTATTGAATTTATGTTTTCGAACTTACAATAGTTGTACACATTTAATTATTTTGACAAACGGTGTAACAATAATTGACGAATCGCATCACCAAAAAAATCTCCAATAGAAAGTGCGAGTATAAGAAAGCGCATTTGATCCTTGTTGATTGTTATATATCAATTTCATCCACTATACTACGTAAGTTATAAGACCCACTAACAGAGTTAGCAAATCTCTGCACAAAAAAGATGGGTGACAATAATTGGGCTACTTCTATGGCTAAAGATGAAGAAAATGAAGACCAAGATAACTTTGGATACGCATTGCAGATTGTTGATTCAATTGCATTTCCTATGGTAATATACTTGTACTTATATACTATAAGATTATATTCGACTTCTTTTTAGTCACGGAAGAACAAATAGAGACACAGAGAGTAATATTGTACGTATACACATAATTTATTTATGTGGTCATTCTATTATTATTGTTACCAGGTAATGAATGAATGCAATCATTGAGCTAGATGTTCTAGGAATAATTGCAAGGGCAGGTCCCGGCAGGCAGCTAATGTCATCAGAAATCGCGGTGAGCCTGCCGGGAGTTAAAGACCCTAAGACAACTGCATCGATGTTGGAGAGGATGTTGTGGCTGTTGGCAACCTACAATGTTGTAAGTTGCACGGTGGTTGAGGATAAAGATGGTGGTGTAAAGAAGAGATTTGGGTTAGCAGCAGTGGCTAAGTACTTTGTTCCGGACAATGATGGTGTTTCATTGGCTCCTCTAATGAGGTTGAGTCAGGATAAGGTCTTTGTTGATTCCTGGTGAGTTCTGTCTTCATTCATCCAGATTTTTCCTTTGGAAATTATTCAAAGTGTTTTTTGTTTTGCTTTTTTTTTTCTTTCTTTTTTGAAAAATTTACTGTAGCTCAATCATACCATCACGGGCTATTGGGCTGTCATACTACGACGTACGGAATATGGTTTGCTTCAAATAATTTTACGCCTTGTGTCCCGTTCAATAAAATTAATTTCACTTCAATAAAATTAATTTCAATTCACTAAAAATAATTTGGTTCAGCAAAAATAATTTCGGTTCAGTAAATATAATTTAAGTTCAGCAAAAATTAGTAAACTTAAAGAAAAAATATAATTAAAAAATAAGTAAAAATAATTTCAGTTCAATAAAATTGATTTTAGGGCAGTAAAAATAATTTCAATTCAGCAAAAATAAGATGAAGTGAACGGGTCTCAATTCAGTCCATTAAATGTGAACAGACCCTAAATATACAGCCTTTGTTTCTTATTATATGTAACAAAAGGGTATTATTTGTGAGACATAAAAAATCCGTTTGTTGCGCATACTAAGAAACGGAGATAGAAATATATATGTATAAAAAAAAAAAAAATCCACTCCAATTCAATGTTAATACAAGTAAAACTAAATACTTTAATGACTAGACACTAGACAACTACAATGGATAAACATGGCATGGTATTGTGCTAAACCAAAGTGTCAAAAGGAGTAATATACAAGTTCGTTGCTTTGGGTCCGACCCATAATGATAAAAACCTAGCCCACATTATAATTGCATTTTCAAGGCCCAACAAGTCAAGGCTCTTAACGATCCTTATAAATCCAGATGTTACTTTGAAACCTCCAAAATTTCTCAAAAAACGTGGATATTAGCCTTTAATTTTAGAATTTTTTTTCTTTTTTTCACCTGAAAATAAAAATTGTCGAAATGTTTACCATGGTCCCTAATACCCTCCGGGAGTCCGATCGACTGGGTGGAACCATCCAATTTGCCTTTAAACGACCAATTTACCGGTTTAAAACTAGCAATGATTTCATTAATTCAAGCTTACTACGAACATTTATGACAACATATAATGAACATATATGGATCCAAACGGCATTATGTGACCCCGAAATATATCCCGTATAATTTCAAGACTTTTCAACACCAGGTCCCAAAACCTCCAAAATTTCTCAAAAAGTGTGGATATTACCTACAATTTTGGAATTTTTTAAGTTTTTTTTTGCTCGGAAATAAAAATTGCCGAAAAGTTTACCATGGTCCCTATTAACCTCAGGAAGTCCAATTGGTTGGGTGAAACTATCCAATTTGTCTTTAAACGCCCAATTTACCGATTTACAACTTGCAACAATTTCATTAATTCAAGCCTACCATGAACATTTATGACAACATATAATGATCATATATGGTTTCAAACGGCATTATATGACTCCGAGATGCATCCCCTAAAATCTCAAACCTTTTCGACACCGAGCCCCGAAACCTCCAAAATTTCTCAAAAATCGTAGATATTAGCCTTTAATTTTGGAATTTTTTGAATTTTTTTAGCCTGTAAATAAAATTTATCGAAATGTTTACCATGGTCCCTAATACCCCCTTGGGGTCCAATTGGGTGGGTGGAACCATCTAATTTGCCTTTAAACGGTCAATTTACCGATTTACAACTTGCACCGATTTCATTAATTCAAGCATACCACGAACATTTATGACAACATACAATGATCATATATGGTTCTAAATGGCATTTGTATGACCCCGAGATGTATCTCCTAAAATCTCAAGCCTTTTCGACACCCGACCCCGAAACCTCAAAAAAAAATTCAAAAAACGTGGATATTAGCCTTCAATTTTAATTAGATTTTTTTGACTTTTTTTCGCCCGGAAATAAAAATTGTCAAAATGTTAACTAGGTCCCTAATACCCTCCGATATTCCAATTGGGTGGGTGGAACCATCCAATTTGCCTTTAACGACCAATTTACCGGTTTACAACTTGCACCGATTTCATTAAGTCAAGCCTACCACGAACATTAATGACAACATATAATGATCATTTATGGTTCTAAACGACATTAAATGACCCCGAGATGTATCTCCTAAAATATCATTTCTTTCCGACATTGGGCCCCGAAACCTTCGACATTTCTAAAAAAAGCATGGATATTAGTCTTCAATTTTGGAATTTTTTTACTATTTTTCGCCCGGAAATAAAATTTGTCGAAATGTTTGCCTTGGTCCCTATTACCCTCCGGGAGTCCAATTGGGTGGGTGGAACCATCCAATTTGCCTTTAAACGACCAAATTACCGGTTTACAACTTGTACCGATTTCGTTAATTTAAGCCTACCACGAACATTTATGACAACAAATAATGATCATATATGATTCCAAACGGCATTATATGACCCCGAGATGTATCCCTTAGAATTTCAAGACTTTTCGACACCGGGCTCTGAAACCTCCAAAATTTCTCAAAAAACGTGGATATTAGCTTTCAATTTTGGAAGATTTTGACTTTTTTTGCTCAGAAATAAAAATTGCCAAAATGTTTACCATGGTCCATAATAACCTCCGGGAGTCCAATTGGGTGTGGGAACCATTCAATTTTCTTTTAAACGGTCAATTTACCGGTTTACAACTTGCACCGATTTCATTAATTCAAGCCTACCACAAACATTTATGACAACATACAATGATCATATATGGTTCTAAATGGGATTATATGACCCCAAGATGTATCTCCTAAAATCTCAAGCCTTTTCGACACCTGACCCCCGACCTCAAAAATTTCTCAAAAAGCGTAGATATTATAGCCTTCAATTTTAGAATTTTTTGAATTTTTTTCGCCCGAAAATAAAATTTCCAAATTTTTACCATGGTCCCTAATACCTTCAAATAGTCCAATTGGGTGGGTGGAACCATCCAATTTGCCTTTAAACGACCAATTTACCGATTTACAACTTGCACCGATTTCATTAACTCAAGTCTACCACAAACATTAATGATAACATATAATGATCATTTATGGTTCTAAACGGTATTAAATGACCATGAGATTTATCTCCTAATATCTCATTTCTTTTCGACACCGGGCCCCGAAACCTTCGACATTTCTAAAAAAAGCATGGATATTAGCCTTCAAGTATGGAATTTTTAGACTTTTTTTCGCACGGAAATAAATTTTGCCGAAATGTTTACCATGGTCCCTAATAACCTCCGGGAGTCCAGTTGGATGGATGGAACCATCCAATTTTTCCTTTAAACGACCAATTTACCAGTTTACAACTTGCACCGATTTCATTAACTCAAGCCTACCAGTCTACCACGAACATTTATGACGACAAATAATGATCATATATGATTTCAAACGGCATTATATGACCCCGATATGTATCCCTTAGAATTTCAAGACTTTTCGACACCGGGCTCTGAAATCTCCAAAATTTCTCAAAAAGCGTGGATATTAGGCTTCAATTGTGGAAGATTTTGACTTTTTTTTCGCTCGGAAATAAAAATTGCCGAAATTCTTACCATGGTCCCTAATAACCTCCGGGAGTCCAATTGGGTGTGTGGAACCATTCAATTTGCTTTTAAACGGTCAATTTACCGGTTTACAACTTGCACCGATTTCATTAATTCAAGTCTACCACGAAAATTTATGACAACATATAATGATCATGTATGGTTTCAAACGGCATTATATGACTACGAGATGCATCCCTTAAAATCTCAAACCTTTTCGACACCGAGCCCCGAAACCTCCAAAATTTCTTAAAAAGCGTAGATATTAGCCTTTAATTTTGGAATTTTTTGACTTTTTTTCGCCCGAAAATAAATTTTTTCGAAATGTTTACCATGGTCCCTATTACCCTCTGGGAGTCCAATTGGGTGGGTGGAACCATCTAATTTGCCTTTAAACGACCAAATTACCAGTTTACAACTTGTACCGATTTCGTTAATTCAAGCCTACCACGAACATTTATGACAACAAATAATGATCATATATGGTTCCAAACGGCATTATATGACCCCGATATGTATCCCTTTGAATTTTAAGACTTTTCGACACCGGGCTCTGAAACCTCCAAAATTTCTCAAAAAGCGTGGATATTAGCCGCCTTCAATTTTGGAAGATTTTGACTTTTTTTTGCTCGGAAATAAAAATTTACGAAATGTTTACCATGGTCCATAATAACCTCCGGGAGTCCAATTGGGTGTGTGGAACCATTCAATTTGCTTTTAAACGGCCAATTTACCGGTTTACAACTTGCATCGATTTCATTAATTCAAGCCTACCACGAATATTTATGACAACATATAATGATCATATATGGTTTCATACGGTATTATATGACTCTGAGATGCATCCCCTTAAATCTCAAACCTTTTCGACACCGAGCCCCGAAACCTCCAAAATTTCTCAAAAAGCGTGGATATTAGCCTTTAATTTTGGAATTTTTTGACTTTTTTTTCGCCCGTACAAAAAATTTGTCGAAATGTTTAACATGGTCCCTAAAACCGAATATGACCTGACTTGGAAATGACCCGACCTAATTATAACTTGCAAATTATTGACTTGAACATAACTCGACTTGAATCCGAGAATGACCTAATTTGGAAATGACCTGACCTGATTATAATCCGCAAATTATTGACTTGAACCGAACCCGGAAATGAACCGACCTTATTCTAACTCGCAAATTATTGACTTGACTTGAATCTAACCCGACTCAAACCCGAGAATTACCCTAACCCGTTTTAACCCGTGAAATCCCGAATTAAACCCGACCTATAGTTCACCCGACCTGAATGTAACCCGACCTGTTATTAACCCGACCTAAACCCAACCCAAATCCGATAAGAAATATGACCCGACGTGACCCGACTCAAGCATGACCCAACCCAAACCCGACCTGCATAGGTTATGGAATTAATCTTAATTGACCCGATCCGAGTTGACTCGACCCACCCTTACCCGACCCAAACCCGATCTGTTTACCCGAATTGACAACTCTAGATGTTAGCATCGTGTTGAATTTTTTGTTTTATCATTAAATGGAAACCAATGTTACTTACATACGAATACGACAGTACGAGTATATGGACTGTACTTTTTTTTTTTTTGGACAGGTGGGCTCTATGTAGTTAATGGAGCATTTATGTAAAAATAAATCAATTAAAAATAATTAATTTGATTTATAAACATATAGAAAATACAAATAACCCTTAATTCAATAATTCATCAAGCAAAAAAAGTC